TATTAGTGGAGTTCCTCAAGGATCTGTCTTGGGTCAAGTCTTCATGACTATTTTTATTAGTGAGTATGGTACACAATGTGGGAACATGCTTTTGAATTTGCTTAGAGCACAAAGGTAGGACCTCATCCACGCATGAGAGAAAGCTTTGCGACCGCTCCGATTTGGCTGAGCGCTCCTCCCACATGATGTCTGGGTAGTTAGTCTCCCATGACAACCATACACCGGGAGCACGCAGCCTCAGCCAATTCTTGTGTTGGTACAAGAACAAGTGAGTACAAACTAGCCATGAATATACGCAGGCTGGAAATTGGATGAAAGTTTCTAACCATCAACGTAGTGAGGTTCTGGAACAGCCTTCCAGTATTAGTGATTTTGGGGCAAACAGCCTGCCTAGTTTCGAGATGGACCATGATCAGTTAATGAAAAGGATCTTATGACATGGAGACCTGCAACAGCAGGAGACTGGACTTAGTTTCTCAGGACATCCTTTCCAGTCCGGGACCCCATCTAGACAGGAATATTTGATGTCTTGCAGATCAGGTGTGGAGAAGATGACTTGTGCATCCTTTGTGCACAGGCAGTAGTTAAGTCTTTGTTAGGGGAAGTTTTTCAAGGATGGTACATAGACGGAGAGCAAGAGAGGGTCAACAACAGAGCCTTCACAACACCTACAAGTGAGGAGAAGAATAAGGCATGATGGGAGGCAGTGACATTGGAAGAGTGAGTAGAGAGAAAAGAGGGGACTTGAAAGAGGACATTATCCCAAAATCCAGAAAAGAATGGGATGTTGAGGAGAAGGAAGCAAGAAACAGTCAAGGAAAGGCCAGGGGAAATGAAGAAGGAATAATAAATTGGTCACTAGAGGCCTTGAGAGCTGTTTCAGTGGAGAAGAAAGGGTGGAACCAGGTTGGAGGGGGTGTCTGAATGTATCTGGATAATAATCATAGCCAATATCCCTGAAATGCTGAGGGATCTCAAAAGCTTCACAAACTGTTTATGTATCACAGTGATTCTCAAGCTTTTTAGATTCAAGGCTCCCCTTGTTAGATTCAAGGTACTCCTTGGAAAATGTGAGCTCTTGGCGTGCACTTATTTTAACTATAGAAAAATAATAGAGCAACTCTGCTGCTGCAGAAAATTCAGAAAGGCCACACAAGGTTAAAATGCTTTTGACACTGTGGATTCCTATTTGAAATCTCTGGCTGCATCCAGATGGATGTGGCTGAGCACATACCACACATTCAGATGTTTCCTGTGGTGCTACCTTGCGGGGTGGGGCGGGGGAGGAGGGAGGGATTTGACCCCAGGAGATCCAGGGGTCAAAAAAACCTGGGGGGAAAAAAGTAGGGCATTATATGTGGCTGCACACAGGAGCTGTCGGCCAGGCTCCAAGCTGCAAGAGCGGTGCAGCTGCAGCTTCCTTGACCCCAGGTAAGGCTGCTGGGGCCAGCACAGTTGTTGGCCCCAGCCTCCCCTACCCCACCCAGGCTAACCTCTCATGCGTGTTGCACAGGCATTCCCTGGGGACAAGTAGCAGCAGCACAAGGTGTGCTGCTGCCAGTTGTCCCTGGGGAACCAAACATCTGCACTCATCTGGATGCAGCCTCTGAGTTACCTTGCAAATCATGTGTACATGTTCGTACATCTAAAAGTACTAATATTGTATAGCACCCTTAAGAGGATCTCATGGCATCCTAGGCAGTTTGGCTGGCATGGCACCCTGATTGAGACTCACTGATTTAGATAAACTACATCAGCACTGACATACTGCCACTTCCAGTATGGAACATGAAATCAGCTTGGCAGTTTACAGCCACACCACCTGATGAGTGAGGATGGGAAAAGAGAAAGGAGATTGTGAAATGATAGAAGGGAGAGGGGTTTAAAAGTACTTATAATGCAGTTGCCCAAGTTGGAATTTGGCCAGGATGCCATGGTTAAAATCTAAGTCCAGTGCAAACTACCTGGCAATCTTGAACAATCATTTTACATTTTATCCAGAATACAAAGATGGGTCTGCAGGGGGTTGGAGAACATTGCTGTGCCTTACAGAAGCCACAAAATCTGCCCTTTTCCTCATTTCCAACCCCAGGTATGACCTGGGGATTCAAAGGCTTGGGAGCCCCCCAGTCATACCTGGAGCTCAGATTCAGAGTTTTCTACCACGTGATCAACAAAGGGAGTTTTCTGTTTTCAATTGAATCTCTAATTTGTCTTGCTCAGCAGTTAGGACCATCTCTCCTTCTATTTGCTTGGCCCTCACTTGTGCACTCATTTTTGTTGTGCTTCCCTTGTTTTCATGGATTGCTTCTCTCCAAATGCTTGATTATCTAGGCAGGATTGAATGAGCCACAGCGGCATATACCAAATAGATAAAAGCACATCCTGTGCCTCTACCTGGACCACACTCTGCTGGTTTACCTGCACCAACACAAAAAGCGGGGAGACGGTTACTATTGAGAGAAACCAGAGAGTGACATTTTCACTGCATCTCCATCGCAGCAGGCACCGATTTAGATTTTCAAAGGCACGGGTAGGAGTTAGGTGCCTAACTGCCATTTATACCTTTTGAAATATACTTCAAAGCGCATGAAGAATGGACCAATGGCCCATCGAGTTTGTATTCTGTTTCCAGCAGTAATCAGTACTGGATGCTTCCCAGGGAGAAATATGAACCTCGTAAATGCATTAGATTATGTAGTTTGATACCACAGAGGAAAATTTTCTTCCCGACTCCCGCTGATGATCCTTTTGTGCCTTGAAGCATAAGGATTGAAATCTTGTGACTTTATTTATAGTCTTGCTAATATAATTGTTGCTGGTGTTCTCAGTCTTGCTAAGCTTTTTGAAACTTACCAAGCAGTTAGCCTCAAATAATAATAGTATCCTAATATCCAAGTCAAACTACAGGTTTTTATAGGTGACCAATGTGTTACGAATATACAGAACTATTACAAAAGAGCTCTTTGCAGTAATTTCCCTTAATTTACCAGCACAGAAATGCACATTTAGTAGGAACCCTCTGGTGCTCAAACAGTTACCTAACTCAGATGCTTAACATAATTAGAGTAGGAGAAATGGTGGTGATTGAAATCAATAAGGGATCCTGCTGCTTTTGCACAGTATTTGAGAACAATTTGCATTCATACCTAACTTACATTAACACAGGATACAGAAGTTACTTAGGAAATCTTTGACCTTTGGGTTTGTTTGTTTTTTTTTGTCCCTGGATTTCTCCAATTGCTTTAGCGCACAAAAAAATTCTGTACTAAATCATTTAAAACGCTTACGCATGGTGTAGGCAAAAATGATGCATATCATATTTTGATACCACAACATTTATTGATCTTCTAAACTTTACATATTTTGTGCATTTGTCACTGGGGTAAATCATTGCTGAAATCATCTAATTGGAGATGATGTTAAACTGTAATAACAATCGCGGCTTTATCTTAAGATTTGTAGAAATGTACCTCTGACCCCAATTCCAGTTAATACATTTGGCTGCAAGTCAATTTAAATAGCAGTGTGCAAGGAACATGCCATTCATATCAGTGTTTGTCTTATGTGAGCTGGTTGTCTCAGGGACTATGCACTTGCAAATAAAGCAAGGAGGAAGTCTTTTCAGACAGTTTAGTAATGTGAATTATATTGTCTTATTTCTATAAAATTAACAAGCTGTTAAAGTTATTCACCCCAAGTGAATAGAGTTATTATTTGTTTATTGTATTATGGTATTGCCTACAGGCTCCAATCAGGGACTGGCTTCTATTGTATTGCACAAACACACATCATAAAGACGGTCTCTGCCCCAACGTCTAAGTTACCCTCAGTCTAAGTTAAACAAATCTTGTCCTTAGACCATAGGCAATGAAAACCTTGCTACATGGAAAGAGCAAGGGAGATCCCCAAGATCGCACGGAGTCTGTGACCGACAGCCCCAGATCTCCTGAGGCCCAGTTCAGTGCCTTAATCACAAGAGCTCCCTTCCTTTTGGTATAGAAGACACCTCTGCATGACATTACAATCAGAAGTCTATAAATGACTTTATCTCCTCAAAAACAGAGGATGTCCCTCTAGCCCCCTTCTTTCTGTGATGCCTGCCTGAAAAAAGACATTCTGGAGCACTGGAGTGGTTGGAAGTGTGTGTATTCATATAGCAATGAGTGTGTGCAACACTCATGCATGTTTGGTTGGATCTCTGTCTCCCCCACCTTCAGTCTGTCACTTGATGCTGTTGTCCAGGCCTTGCATGTGCTTGTCAGCTCCAACACCATGGAGCTTTTGTCAAGGTATGATTTTTGTATTTGATTCTGCACACAGCAGGTGAGAGGGTTGAACTGGCACACAATATAAGCATGACTATTTCACTGCCAGGTTATAGCTGTCTACTCATAGCTGTAAGTTGAGATGAGGGCAAGAAAGATAGAGTGGTGGTGTTTTCTTAAACTTGGACCTTTTCTGCCCATGCTGGACACTGTGTGATTGAGTATGAAGAAGGGATGGCATGCAAGATGGTTGAAGTTCAATGCAGACGACTATCCCTAGAGCTTGTCACTGGGTAGTCAACGTATATGTGCGCTGGAAAGCAAGAACTTTTGCTCCCTATTTCCAGGATTAGGGCCTTTCCTTCATAACACAAACCTAAAGAAATACCACGTTCCCAAAACCATTGTATATTTTTGTCTTATTTCCCCCAGCTTGATGCAAATAGAGCAGAATCAATCCCTTTGTCAAGGGTTCCACATGGCATGTGTACCAAATACCCTCAATAAGCTTTTAGGTTGCCATTTGTGCAGGGGTGAATTACACAATTGCTTGTGATTTTTGGTTACTTAGAATTGTTTTGGGCTGACAGTGTTCCAGGGTGACCTGTGAATTTGGGGAGGGTTATTAATGCCTCCATAATAGATGAATGCCATTACAGAGGAAGGGTGTGAAAAACTAACAGAACAAACCAGATTGAAATAATGCTTTGTTTTCTTTTCCCTCCTCCTCAGGTGGAAGAGAGCTCCAACGCGGGCAGCCCTTCGAAAGGCCTTTTCTCAAAAGGGCTCCAAAATCGACCTTCCAGCCCTGTTTCTGCCCCTGTGAGATCTAAGCATAGCCCAGGCTCACCAAAAACAGTGTTTCCCTTCCCGTATCAGGAGTCTCCCCCACGCTCCCCACGCCGAATGAGCTTCAGTGGGATCTTCAGGTCCTCCTCCAAAGAGTCCTCCCCCAGTTCTAACCCATCTACCTCTCCTGGGGGCATCAAGTTTTTCTCCAGATCAAGAAAAAGTAAGAAATTGATCATGTTATTTCAGGAAGATACACAGTACCTCTGGGCTTGGCCCATTCTTTACCTGCTGTAGTAAAGTAAGTGCAGATGGGGCACATGCTAATTGTTCATTATGAGTTCCACTTAAGATGTTTATCAATTTCTTTGCCACCCAGCTGTCCAGTAGAACGTAACCCGGAGCATGGTATAGACCAAAGGTGAAACTTTCCCCCATGCACAGAGCAGCACAAGGAAAGCAGAAAGCATCATGTAAATCGCATGCAAGGTTTTGCATGAAATCTCATCCCCACTGAAGGCCAGCAGGAGAGTTCTTCCGCTGGCTTCATTGGAGCTAAGCTATCAGCTCTGGGGTTTAAGAGGGGCTGAAGTGGTGGATGGACTTTGTGCTGGCCCCTGCGTAGGAAACAGAGAAGTACTGCTGCAGCCGGCTCCTTAGAAAATCTCAGCCATTCTTTTACCGATGTGGTTTATGCTATTGTAGGAAAGTAAAAAAGATCCTTACCACACTGATGAAATGATACATGTTCCTGATGTGTTGACAACTGCGAGGGTGTTTCATTTCTATCTGAAGCGAGTAGACACTTCCATCTTTTATGATTCAGAACAGCTAACTACATTTTATCTCACACAGATTGTGTCTCCTCAGTAATTGGGCACCTGCTATATTGACTGAGCCACTTAAATTGTTTTCTTGACAAGAAAATTATTCACCTTTACTTTTATGCTTTAAAATTTCATAACCTAAATGAAAGCTCACCTGTCTCAAATGTTTTGGGGAACAAACATATTTAGAACTGAATCACAAAACAGGACATTTCTATTGGGAATTTATTATTGGGAAATGTTGGAAGTGATTGACAGTTTGTATTATTTCCCTGTGGATAAACAGAAGAAATAATAAATCAATATAAAATTCTGTGTGCAATCTATAGGGGCAGTATTTGTGATGCTAGTAGCTACATTTGGCATATAAAATGCGTATAATGTACTGAAAACTGAGAGAAGGGCCTTATTACGTGTTCTGAATGTCAACAAAATTCTTTTAATTTATTTAAATTATTTAATTAGAATAAACAATGTTGTGGTAACTTTACTGAATGCATGTATAAGCACACACTCATTATGTGGATCACATTTGTCAAGAAGTTCTTCAAATTCAACTGAAATTCGTTTTTTCCTAGTTCCTTTACCTGCAGACTGCTTTTCAGAGCCTGAAACCCAGAGTACATACTTTTAAAAGGAGTCCAATTGTATTTCACACAATCTGAACTTGTTATAGTCCTGCCACACTGATCAGGGGCACTAGTTCTTCCATGGTTAAAGTTCATGTGAGCTTCCTGTCATCCTCCTTATCCCCAGCCTCACAAACCATAAATCTCATTTAAGCTGTGTTTTGAGGATTCTGGTAGAAGTTTACATTTTTATAGGCCATATTGTGGGTAACTGGACAAGGAAGAATTTCACCCTGCATGGATAACCATAACAATTTACATTGACTAGAAGAATTATCTAATGACACTGATTATTAATGTTTTATTAGTGATGAGGTGATGTTGTTGATGTGATGGTTCAAGAGATATGGGAAAGAATTCTTGTGCTTCAGGAAGGGTCCTGTGATACCTGAAAGCTACCAACCAGGCATGCAGTTGGTCCAATAAAAGATATCACCTGCGAGAATTCTTGCCTTTCACTGATCATTTAGGCACTGCCTACTTAAAGTTGTATTTATTCTGTGCAGGCTTGGAAGTTGAAGCCTGAACCTAGGCAGATACATCTGCATATTATAATATTAAAATGCTCCACTAGTCAGCAAAACCATGGCAGTGAGGTCCTGTGATTGGAACATAGCCAGCTTTAGAACAGGCTTTCATGCCATACTTCTTAGCCAGAGAATGTATCAGTGACCCAGCTGTTAGAGAAATGGTTGCAGAACTTCTTGTGGTGTTTGTTTTTAATGTGAGAATAGCTGCCTCCCAACCAGTGAATGATGTTGGTTAACCTGCATATGTCAGGAACCTTTGCTCTCCTTTAGTTACATGATTTTTTTTCAAGATGAATTGCTAACTGCACTCAGTGATGGTCCCCTACCGAAGATCACTTCTGAAAGAGGCTTATAGGGGTATGTGTCCCTCTCTGTTCTGCTTCATATTTTGTTGACTTTTATTTCTGTGTGTTTTATTTGGGGACTAAAATTTATATACTTCTGATTTATTATGTTTATTTTTAAAGTGTCTCTTCAAGGCTCAGGGAGCTTGCCAGAACTTAATGAACACCACAGATATACTGGGTGCATCTACATGAGACGCTTACTGCGGAGCTGCCTAATTAGCTCCGCAGTAAAGTCTTAGTGTCTACATATGTGGTCCTGTTAGGCTGCAGAAAACTACTGAACTCCGCCACAGGTTAATACTTGTAAATACAAGTAGTATCCTACGGCAGAGATTTTTAGTGCGCAGCAGCATATGTGCAGACGCTGACAGGGCTGGCTGGGGCACAAGGGTGCTTCAGTGAGGAAGCTGCCTCCTGGCTAGCCCCACACTGAAGCATACTTGTGCCCCAGCCAGCCTCTTCACAGCATAGTTGAGCTGGGTCAGAGCAGCCCTAGGCTGACAGGCTGACCCTCCAGACCCTCTGCCAGCATGGACTGCTCTCACCCCACTCAACATACTGTGGTCCTGGGCGCACGTTCAGTTGCAGTGCCTGGGAGCAATAAACTCCATTGTGATATGCACCGGAGTTTATTGCTCCATGCTAATAGCACACGTGGATGCACGCACTGATCCCATCTTACAAGCAGAACTTTTGCTTGCTGTCTATTCTGTAAATAAAAAATAGCCCTTTAGATCTTGAAACACAAAATGACTGATTTAAGTCTTCTTGGAACAAAGCTCTTGTGACTTAAATGTCATTGTTTGATAGGATTTCTCAAAAAAATAAAAGTCCCTAAACTAGCCATTAAGTTCAGTGCTCAGATGCTGTAGCAATCGGCACCCTGGAAGGACCTAAGATAGTTTCAGGGCTCAGATTTGTAAAGGTGTTTTGATGTTGCTCTGTGTAGCTCTGAAAGATCTTAGTGATATTGATGGACAAGTCCCTTGGCCTAAAGTGATTTAAATAATTAGGGTGCCTGTACATGAGCATGGAGGCTGCTCTGATGCACTGTAATTACAGCATGCCAGAGCAGACTCAATTAATTGAGTTTGCCGGAGTGCGGTAATTACTGTTCTCCAGCAGCCTCCCACGTCTTGTGTATCATTGTCCCTGCACTTCAAAATGGTGGCAGGGATGCTTGAACTAAAGCTCATTTGACACGAGACACTGCAGCACTTTAATTAAAGCAGTCTCCTCCTCCCCGCCCCTGCCCCTGGAGCATGTGTAAAAGTGCTCTTAGGTTCTCTCCCATCAAGATCTGCGAGATATAAGGTCAGAAGTCATTTTAGAAAATGGGACTTGGTTATCTGTGTCACTTATGACAAAATCCAGATTAGTATTGTATGTGCCAGTAAGGGGCTGAGGCAGAATTTAGGTGCCCATGTTCCAAAGAGGATCTAGAATGGCTCCACTCCAGTAGCCATAAAACTCTTTAGGTACCTAAATTCATTCAGCACCTTCATTTTTGGACTGAAAAGTCCCCTAGGTGCCTGCACGGTGTTGTATGCATGCTCAGAACCAATCTAGTCTGAAAACTGAGGCACCTAACTCCCACCTCTATTTAATTACAATGCAGGTTGGTTGTGGGGAGGCACATAAACTGTACCAAAGTCTCTGGAGGGACCCTGTCTGATGAACAGGGATCCTGACGTTCTCTGATTAAAATAAATAAATAAATAAATTTTCAATTCTCAGATTTTAAAAAAAGTAACCCAAAATCCACCATTTTCTGTGATGAAAATGAAACACCACTAATATATATATATATATCTGTACCCCTTCTTTCTCTTTCCTCCTTCTCTAGCAATGTTCTTAAGTGATGGTACTGCAGGATTCTCCAATTTGCACTGTATTCAGTGCTTACAGTGTAAGTTAGGGGCCCTCAGAACCTGTTCATCAGCAGGGATCCTGGTTTTCCCTTACTAAAAAAAATCCCTAATTTCCTGATTTAAAAAAGCAACTCCAAATCCATATTTTCCTGTGACTAAAATGATGGCAGGGGGCGGGGAAGGATTGAGGCTTCCGAAGGGAGGGAGAAAGGAAGGGATTTGGGCAAGGCTGGGGCTGGGGCTGCTGCTCAGCTGGGCAGTGCATGAGGCTTGGGGCCTGGGGCCAGAATATGTGGCTTCAGGCTTCTGGTGGGTAGCAGGATGGGATTGTGGGCAGCTTGTCCAGGGGGCAGGGAAAGGGGCTGTCTCCCCAAGAGTGTGTACTCTTGG